TATTTTAATATAATGTTAAAAGAAAATGTTTAATATGCAATCTATTTTTTTTTGTCATTTTTGGTAGCAAAAAGTTTCAAGTTCTTTTGTCCTTAAACATAGTATATAAGGTAAAACAAAGCCCAGAAACATTGATGATAGATATGACAGCAATATTAACCTTGATACAGACCTGACTCCAATTTACTACTCCTTAATTATAATATAGGTATAATTTACTATTCTGGAATATTTCTTTTCAATGCAGAATAAATTATGTTTTTTTTCTTATGTAGTGAATAACAGAGTCCCTTATACCTAGTAGGCATTCATAAATAGTTGCTTAATTGGATTAATATAATTGGACCCATTAATTCAATTTCTTTCACACAATCAGCAACCAGTCTGGAGCTCAGACTGCTTCAGGATTTGCTCAGCTACCATCAAGGATGAAGGGATTAATATCTGAGCAAGGGCATATCTATAACCAATTCAAGATACATGTGCATGTACAGACACACCACCTAGGAAACTATACTTAAATTAATGGAAAGGACACAGCACTAATGCAATAAGGGTCATGTATGCAATTCCAGCACTGTTCACTATGTGGAGAGAACTCCTCTTCAAGGCCAAATCTCTCACCAATCACCTCCCAAATAAGTGAAAAGTCAAAAGGTACCCTGGAGGCCTTCATTTTCTGAAGACAATTCTTAACTGATATGGATTTTTAGTATAATTTCGCCCCCAGTTTTTTAAACTTAATTTTTGAATAGGTTTGTTCAAATGACAGAAAATTTTAAAAAGTACACAGTGACAAGACTTACCCCCAATTATTGTCCCACCTTTGCCCAGCTCCTATTCCCTCAATAGGTAACCACTGTTCTTTTATTTTTATGTAACCTCCCACATTTTGTTTTTGCATTGTTTTACCATCTTTATGTAGGAAGGATAGAATATACATTCAATTCCATTGTCTTAAAAACAATGGGTTTTTTTTCTATTGTGGTCAATGAGGATTATTTATTCTTTGTGTTAAGTGTAAAGTATAACTCATAAATAATATTTATACCTCTGTCAGAATTTTCCTCTAAGATTGCAATCTTGAATATATAAAATTGAGTGAAAATGTTTGTAGGATCACGACGTTCAGCTTCTGTCACTGTCTCTTTGGCCTGAAAAGAAGAACATTGGGTCTTTTAAATAAAATCTATAAGGAAGTCCTTACCATATTTTACTAATATAATTAAGATAGTCAAATGGCTGAGGGATACTCACAATGAAAAGTTATAAATCTAAGAAAAATTTTTACAGAACTGCTTTCCTGCAATGCTAAAGAAATAGTTCTCCTTCTGGAAATGCACGAGTTAGATATGTCAGACCAACGCCCCTGCTGAAAACAACTAAAAATGTTGGACAATATATTAAAATTATTTTTCAGAAAAGAATAAAGGAGAAACTGACAGGATAGTAAAAGAATTATCAAGCCAAAATCTAAGGAAAAGTGAGGCTCTAGAGAGTTAATCAGAGAAGTAAAGTCACTATCATCTGGTAAGCACTTATAAATCAATTCAAATGTTAACTTTAGTTTTGATGGGTCTTACTAGGTCAGGGAAACACACATCAACTCCCAAGGCATCACACTTTTATAATAAGGGCAAACCAGAAGTAAACCTACTCCCACCCATATATTAATTTATCCTAAGGCTACCTTGGTGCTAATTAAAGGTTTCACAATGAGGTAGAGGGAAATAATCCCTGAGGTGTAACACAAGGAGATTCATGTACTTATAGGCCCAAATTACATTATACAAGAGGCCAAAAGATCTGAAGCTGAGAATTTAGTTTATTTATTTATTTTTAGAGACAGGGCCTTGCTCTGTCACCCAGGCTACAGTGGCGGGATCATAGTTCACTGCAACCTCCAACTCCTGGGTTCAAGCAATCCTCCTGCCTCAGCCTTCCAAGTAGCTAGGACTACAGGCACACACCATCATGCCCAGCTATTTTTAAATTTTTTGTGGAGACAGGGTCTCACTGTGTCACCCAGGCTGGTCTCAAACTCCTGGCCTCAAATGATACTCCTGCCTCAGCCTTGGTCTGTGCTGGAATTACAGACATGAGCCACCATGGCTGAGAATTTAGTTTAGACAGCTCCCAAACATCTGCAGAAGCACATGTAAATACTCTCTGGGGGAAGACACCTTCATCTTAGGCTTCACAATAATTTCACAAATAATTTTCCAAGAATCATGAGTTATACACATTAAAAAGTAACTGTGAATACTTGGAGAAAAGGTACCACAAATGAGAACCAGCAGAAACAACAGATAACAGAAACAGATCCCAAAGATGCAGATACTAGAATTATCAAAAACTGGTTATAGACCGGGCGCGGTGGCTCACACCTGTAATCCTAGCACTCTGGGAGGCCGAGGCGGGCAGATTGTTTGAGCTCAGGAGTTAGAGACCAGCCTGAGCAAGAGTGAGATCCCGTCTCTACTAAAAATAGAAAGAAATTAGCTGGACAACTAAAAATATATAGAAAAAATTAGCCAGGCATGGTGGTGCATGCCTGTAGTCCCAGCTGCTCGGGAGGCTGAGGCAGGAGGATAGCTTGAGCCCAGGAGTTTGAGGTTCCTGTGAGCTAGGATGACGCCACGGCACTCTAGCCCAGGCAACACAGTGAGACTCTGACTCAAAAAAATAAATAAATAAATAAATAAATGTACATGGGTTGATACACAATGGTACATACCAATACAGTTATAGTGACTGTTTCTAGATAGTATTGATTCTGAGTCATTATTGCCTACATTATACCAGTTGTTAAATACTTTGAATTTCAATAAAGTTCCTAGGAAACAGAGACTACAAAATGTGATCTTGAAGATTTGAAAAAAAGTAACTGTATGAAATGAAAAATACAATAACCAAAATGAAAACATAATGGACAGTTTAGTAGCAGTTTAGAAACAGGTGAAAAGAAAATTAGTGAATTGAAATATAAAACAGAATAAATTAGCCAAAGTGCAGCACAGACAGATTACAGACATGGAAGACATTTAAGAAATGACTGTATACTCTCTAGGCTAGCCACTGAAAGATTAGAAGCAGTAAATAATTTTCACACTAGTAGAAGGGGAAAGTGAAATGTAAAAAAAAATTGAGAATAGTCTTTTCAACAAATGTTGCCAGAACAACTGGACATCCACATGCAAAAAAAAAAAAAAAATGGATCCAGACACAGATCATAAAACTTTCACAAAAATTAAACGAACATGGATTATAACTTAAATGTAAAACCTCAAGCTATAAAACTCTTTGAAGATAACACAGGAGAAAATCTAGGTGACCTTGGGTTTGGAAATGACTTTTTAGACACAACATTAAAAGCATGATTCATGAAAGTAAAAATTAAGTTGAACTTCATTAAAATTTAAAACTTCTGCTCTGTGAAAGACATTATTAAGAAATTAAAAGACTAAGCCACACATTGGGAAAAATATTTGCAACATGTCTGATAAAGGACTGGTATCCAAGATATGCAAAGAATTCTCAAAACTCAACCATAAGAAAACAAGCAACCCAATTATAAAATGAGCAGAAGACCTGAAGAGACACTCCACCAAATAAGACATACAGGTGGCAAACAAACATATAAAAGGATTTTTAACAGCATATACCATTAGGGTTTTGCAAATTAAAACAACAATGAGGTACCACTACACATCTATTAGAGCGGCTAAAATCCAAAACACTGACGTCTAATGCTGACAAAGACACAGACCAATAGGAACTCTCATTCACTGCTGATGGGAATGAAAAATGGTATGACCACTTGGAAGACAGTTTGGCAGTTTCTTACAAAACTAAACATACTCTTGCCATACAATCCAATATTCCTTGGTATTTACCCAAATGAGTTGAAATCTAATGTCTACACAAAAACCTGCACACAGATGTTTATAGTAGCTTTACTTATAATTGCCAAAACTTGAAAGCAACCAAGATGTCCCTCAAAAAGTTAATGGATTTATATATTCAGATAATTGAATATTATTCAGCACTGAAAATAAATACACTATAAAGCCATGAAAAGACATGAAGGAACCTTAAGTATATATTACTAAGTGAAAGAAACCAATCTGAAAAGGCTAAGTACTGCAGGATTCCAATTATATGACATTCTGAAAAAGGCAAAACTACGGAAACAGTAAAAAGATCAGTGATTGCCACTAGCTCAGTGGGAGGAAGGAAGGGATATATGGGTGAACCAGAGGATTGAAGCTAATCTATATGATATTATTAATATTATGATGTACGCATGTTTTTAATACATATTCATCAAAGCCCATAGGATATACAATATAAAGACTGAACCCTAATGTGAACTATAGACTTTAGTTAAAAATAATATATCAGTATTGGCTTATCGATTGTAACAGAGCACACTAATGTAAGATGTTAATAGTAGGGGAAACGGAGTATGTGGAGGGTGGTGAGCGGGTATATGGAAACTCTCTGTACCTCTCACTCAATTTTTCTGTAAACCTAAAACTTCCCTAAAAAGTAAAGTCTATTATTTTAGAAAATTGATCCTAAAAAAGGCCAAGAAAGGGAGAAAAAGAAACACAATAGAAATGACAAATAGAAAGCATAAAGATGTAGATTTAAACTCAAATTTATCAATATCATATTATTAATAAATGTATTAAAACTGGCAAACATCTTTATAAATATTCCAGGTAAAAAGCAAAAATGGTCAGACTGAATTAAAAATATCTAACTATACGCTGTTTACAAGTGGCACACCTAAAACATAAAAGATACAGAAAGGTTCAAAGTAAAGGGATTAAGGAAGATATATCTGGAAAATACTACCAAAAGAATGCTAGTGTGGATATATTAGTATCAGACAAAAATGACTTTAAAGCACAAAGTAATACTAGATATAAAGAAGTTCACTTCATACCAATAAAACCTCAGTAAACAGAAATATATTATGGTACTAATTTTGTATGCATAAACAGTATAGCCTCAAATATATAAAGCAAAAATGATAACATTAGATAGGAGAAATAGATAAATTCACAATCATAATGGGACATTTCAGTACTTCATCTCAATAACTGATAGAGTAAGGACAGAAAATATGGGTTTTGGATATGGAGGATTCAAACAAAATGAACAACAAACTCAATCTAAATTTATACGTGTTTATACACATGGTGTCTGACTTACAATGGTTTGACTTAACAATTTTTGAGTTTACCATGGGTTTATCAGAGCATAACCCCATTGTAATTCCAGGAGTTCCTTATGACTTACAATGAGGTTAAGATTTCTACTGAATTCATGTCACTTTTGCATCATTGTAAAGTAAAAAAAAGTAAATCAAACCATCATAGGTTGGGGACATCCGTTGTGCGTCCAGCATTAAATACACTTTTGACTTAGTATTTTTGATTTACGGTGGTTTTATCAGATGTAACGCCATTGGAAATAAGTTAAGGAGCATCTTGATATACACGTACATACACAGTGCCTAAAAGCTGCAAAAACATTTCTTTCAAGCACACACAGAATATTTACAAACTGACTGTGTACCTAACCATTAAGCAAATCTCAGCTTATTTCAAAGTCTGAAATCAATTACAATATAATTAAGCTAGAAATCAATTACTAAACAATAACTAAAAAGATGCCAAGATAATATTCATGTTTCAAAATTCAGATATAATATTTTTACATAATTCATGGGCCAAAGAAAATAACCCTAAAGAAAATTGGAAAATACTTTGAATTGTATAATAATAAAAATACTACATGTATCAATGTTCTCCAGAGAAACAGAACAAATAGTATATATACAGTCATGCGTTGCTTAACCACAGGGATACATTCTGAGAAATGCCTTGTTAGGCAATTTCATCATTGTGCAAACATCATAGTTTACTTACACAAACCTAGACACTATAACCTATTTACTACACACTTAGGCTATATGGTATGGCCTATTGCTCCTAGGCTACAAACCTGTACAGCATGTTACTGTACTGAATTCTGTGGGTATTTGTATATCTAAACATATCTAAACCTAGAAAAGATACAGTGGAAATATGGTATAAAAAATAAAAAATGGTACATCTGCACAGGGCTCTCATGGAGCTTG